GTTAAACATAAAAAGATAAGCATACTGGACGGTCTGGATGAAGCAGCAAGATCGGACGAACTAAAGGTCAACGATTTCATCCAACTGATGTCAAAACATTTCCTCTGCTCTAACTATTCTTTCCGAAGAGAGGAAACGTCTTATAAATATGGTGGAAATAAATGCCTTTAGTAAAGACTTTTGTGTTATTAGTAATCTAATTAAGCATAAGATCTCGCCATGGATGAAATCAAACAGCAATAAGTCATCCGTTAATAAAAGGTCACTTCAAAAGGTTTGTTAGAGATTCTTAATCAAATTATACTTTATTTCAAAGTTTAAGTTGATTAATATGATTTCAAAAGAGTAATTCATTTGAATATTATGATATACAAAACTGGTGCCTCGTTGATTAATATGCTTACTTTAAATTAAGAATCAAAATTAAAATGTGATTCATTCTAATAATGTTAATATTGTGATCAATATAAATGCTTTTATAATAATTTATACTTTTGCAGTTTTTTTTAACGTATTTAAAAAGTAACCATATTTTCTTTTTCTCGTTAGCTACACTTAACACTTTTATTAATTTATGTACACTATGATATGGAAATTGTTTTTATTTAGTTTATGGTCGTTAGTTTTCTAGCCTTGAAGTTAATTCCAGAAAGAAAGAAAAATTTGAGCTCATTGGCTTGAAAAGTGCGATAACCGTCGCCGCTATCTTTCTCTTTCGCGATCCCTAACTGGCCGGTTTAGAAGCTACGTTCACTTTCACTATGTCAGATATACAGAGACTCAAGTTTGCGTAAAATACAAATTAAGTCATAGAATTTCGATAAATTTTCCTTCTTTAAAAAAGGCGGAATGAAACGGTTAAATTAAATGTGAAAAAATTTACTGTATGAGGATATAAACTAATTTTTAAGGCGAAAAAAAAAATTTATTTGGAAATTTTTATACACTCATAATATTTAATTGAGGGTAACTTATGTTCTTTAATAAACAAATAATGAAAATAAATTAATAATAATGTTAATTAGTTAGAAAGCTATGAAAAAGGGAGCTAAAAAAAGGTTGATCACTGGATCTGAGAACAAAAAATTGAAAGACATCTCATAAACAGAAATCTAAATTATAATATTTGTAAATCCAATGTACGAATGAAAAAAACATAATTTTTGATTAGACTACATAACATGCACATTGAGTTAAAAAAATGTTTTAAGTCAAAGGCGCTGAGATGTTTCTATTTCTTCTTTGAAAACATGCTAGACGCTAAAACACTAGTGACGCGTATCACCCATTTTTCAAAAAAAAAAAAAAAAAAAAAAAAAAAAAAAAAAANAAAAAAAAAAAAAAAAAATACCTATGCGGCTCTTTACTTCTATTTCCACTACAATCTATCCCTCACTTCTTTATTCCACCAAAATCCATACTCTCTGAATGCATAGTCTCGGTGTGCGTAATTGCGTATAGTAACTATGGTGGTCAGCGCTCCTATAAAATTAAGACTTACAGAACTAGTTTGCAAAATTTTTTCCGGATGCTCGTACATACTAGCATATTTATCCATTTATCTTTGAAAAAAAACGTTAAATGAATTTGGAAAGCACAAATTAATAACTCGGAAAATACGTGTAATGGAGTTAATAGCAGAAAAAAGAAGACATGGTGATTACCACGATGAAGCAGAAAATTCCATTAAAAAATTATTTAAAAAACTCAGTTTTAAAAACTTTAGCTATAGGATTTAAAGTTAAAAAGATCAATCTTTTGAAATGGCCATGATACATAGACTCTAAAATTATGTTTGGGGAGAAAAATCCTCAAGCAAATGCGCAGACGATTTAAATTTGAAGAAAGTAAAAGTTAAGAGATTTTTCAAGAGTATGTTGAAAACAGAAGCATTTTCCCAATCCTAATAAAAAAAAAAAAAAGGCTTTGCTTAATGCTGTAAATACACTTATGATCTCTACTGCAGAGAGCGAAAGTATTCAGCTCTATGAATCGTGGTCATACCAATAGAAACTAATCAAATCCAAGGAACAGTTTGCAAGTGAGCAGAATATCAGGACTTATTTTCATAAAGTGTGTAGGTTCACCAATAGATCATTTTAAACCACTACCACACGTAAAAGCATGGCTCAGAGTAAGAAGCCGTAATGCAAAATATGACTCACCGCAAAATTTGGCGCACCATAGTGACTTCAGCACTCGTGCTTTCAAACAAAGAAGATGTGAGTTAGTCCAAATGAACGAGTATGTGGAACAGCGAGACGGTGAGTTTATGATGGTCAGCCAACTGACAGCATGCGAAAAGTCCTAAAACGATTTCTCATTCACCTTTTTGAATTTAAAATAAGGATTCAGTCTTGGCATCTTGGCATTGCGATGAACCAACCAAGAACCAAAAATAAAAGAACGATGAACCACCATGGAGTCACGAATCGGTGAGTTCTTGCTGTAGACAATGAGGAACCATGAAGCAGTTATTTTAAGCAGCAGAACCAGCTGGTTACCGAGCTAGTTAGTATTTATATATTATATACATATGCACAGTGAACAAAAAAAATAAATACCATGAATAACGTTTGATCCTAATTATCGGATTTTAACGTACTAGGACTCAAACTTAATGGTTCGAAAGGGTGACCTTAAATATGTTAATTAATTTCGGCAGACAATATTTTAAGTTACGAAATTAGACAAAAAGACATACCTTTTCAATGAACTTGGATTTCTTGTCTTCTAAACTAGGGGATAGCCGCAATCTCAGAAATGTGATCCCAATAGTTTGTGTCAGGAGAGAAGTCCAAGCTTTATACCCTTAAATGCTATTTTTTTTTTTTTTTTTTTCGTATTTCGCTTTATTTCGAAAACTTTTAAAGCGAATTGAAAATTTTTCCAACATAATTATAAAATTCGTTTCAAAGATAATTTCATGCAGAAATTAATTTCTTGAAATTATTCATTACTTTTTATTATTTTGTTTAATAATTGTCGAAAAACTTTTGAACTACAATTTTTACGTCTTTTTAAAGTAATGTAATGTAATTTTATACGGCAAATATATTTTACGTAATTTCATATGGCTTAATGTAATTTTATATGGCAAAATACAAACTCTAGGAGAAATCCGTTGAATTGCTCCTGGGAAATCAAAATGTAAACATACAACTTTTTCTTTTAAATTCGATTTCACATGACTATTCGATCAGTTTTTTTTCAAATTTTGCATTTTAAAGCTATATTCCTTAGAATAATATTTAAAAATAATTGTATACCTAAAAATTCAAACTCTTTTCAACCATTATTATATTAATAATAAATAGTAATTACAATATTTCCTAGATTGCGGCTACCCCCAATATTTTGAGGGTAAGGAATCTAAATCCTTCGAAAACAGATATTTATTCAGAGAGAATATGTTTTTGAGTCTGATTTCGCAACTTTATCGTCTCCACAAACTAATTAGCATGTTCGAGGTCATCCACTCAAACCACTAAATTTGAGTATACTAGTACGTAAATATCCGATCATTAGATTAAAAATTATTTAGAATGTTTCATTTTTTTGCACACTGTACATAATTATAAACGTTTTTTCCAAACCCCTTTCTCATGGCTTAATCAAAAAATGCTCTTTTTCATATTTCCAAGAAAAAATTTTAATATCTAATGATTGTACAAAAAAATTTTATTATTACTTTTATGATTATTATTTTTGCTGATAACAAACAGCAAAGAACAGAAAATTAAAAGATCATTTTTAATCATTTAAGCTAAGAATTCACGGAATTAATTATTTTTTTTTATCTTTATGTCCAGAAAATTTTAAAAATTAAATCTCAAACATTGGTTCTGAAAGGTTTCGAATTTTTGTTCTTCCACTTTTGTGTTTCCATGCTTCTGAACTATACAGTAGAATTGCTCTGATCATTGTTTTATAAACTATTATTTTTGCTTTTGTTTCAATATTTGGTGTGCTTAAGAATTTGAGCAGGCTAAAGCATGTTCTACGGGTGCACAGTAAGGACAGATTAACAGGGGTAGTAATGTAGGGTAGGGTAGTAGGGTTAAGGCTTCAGGGGCTCTAAGTAGGATAGTTTAAGAGCGTCACACAAAAGCTTAAAAAATTTGAAAAAATAATAATGGAATAATGATCCTCAGTAAATTTGTCGAGATTCATAAGATTCCAGCTCATATGCAACTGAATACAAGGTCTATCAATAGGATAGTAATATTTTGAGTTGCTTTGCTATGGCCATCTACTCTCAAGTGAATTTTTTAACTACATGTACGAATAATTATAAACGATAAAATCAAAAGATACACTCATTACAGATTGACTTCCTAATAATTACTTAAATTTAAATGTTTCAAGTTATTCATTTTATTTCATACATAATCAAACTGACTGAAACTTTATCCAATACAGTAGCGAACAGAGTATGTACGGTCACATCATCCAGTGAAAATCTCCTAAAACGGAGATCCTTTTGCCCGTAAACTAGACTGAAAATGTTTCGAACAGACCTGGTTCAGACACCCTTTACTGTTAGCAACGTTAGTGAAACGTTTACAAAATGGTTGTACACCATTGCAATAAAATTGTGTTCCTGTTTTAATCAATTATAAAAAAATTTTACCTCTAATTTTACAATAACAACCAATAAATAATTTTAACATAAAAGGACAAATTATCAGTTGTTAATGTCCTTAGGTGCTAGTGACATTTTAAAATGTTTTTATTTAGTTTTAGAAACTTAAGTTTTAGTTCACTACCACAGGAAAAAAAATTTCACAAAATATTTAAGCACTAGGATGATATGGCATACTGTAAACAAAAAATAATAGCACATTAAGTTAATTTCAAACTAATAATTTAACGCTTTATACTAGATTTTCCCTAATCCTAGAAAACAAAACTTATATAGTTACTCTTAACAAATATAGAATTATAGAACACATACTGGTTTAGGTTCTTATCTTAACCTAACCATTAATAAACAAAAAAAAGCATACATATATTTATTTTATTTAGCTAAATTACAGATATAACTTTAGACAAAACTAATCACCGATTGCATGTCAATCAACTCTTTACATTTGCTGTTGAGGATTTTCTGCAGATTGTTGCCAAACATATGGATTACCAGGAGTAATTTGTCCCAGTTTATGTTTTACTTCTTTATCTTTTATTGCGGGGCTAGGAAAAAAGGCAGATAAATGCAATGTTAAATGATTTGCAATTCATTTCATCATCAAATCTACAAATATGTTTTCATTACAAAACCAAACAAATTAAAAGCAAAATATGTGAAACAGGCATGCGATTTGTGCTGCCATTTCTGTTATTTAACATAGAATTATTGAAAAAAAGAGCTGTTTAAAGCAATTTTAATGAATTCTATCTTGGCGACATATTTAAGAATAAAAAAAATTTATAGGCAAAGAAGGAATAACTTTGCAACATTAATCTTGCAATGCATTTGATTAAAGTAGCAAAGTTGGCATGCATTTTCTTGTTTTACCCTCAACAAACCATTTACAAAATGAAGAGTTTTTATTGTATCTCATTACACAAAAAAATCATTATTTACAACTATGTTTATATTTGTATTCTTTCACCAGTTTCTTTAAATTCAAATTGATATAAAAATGCATAGTATTTGAAACCATTTTTATTAACTGTTAGTTGATCAACATTGATAAATTTAATCAATATCATTAATAAAATTATTAGTTCGTTAGCACTTACAGCTGTTATTATTAAGTTGCTTTGTTTGAATACAATTTTAGGAAAGTTCAACTGCTTAATCACTTACCCTCTGGATGCTATTGTGTATCTAAGAACCCAAGCACACACTGCACCAACCCCTACTATTGGTAATCGAGTTGAACTTTGTTAACATCAACTCCATGGGGAGGCAAGAAATTTGTTCACTTTAAAAGTGGCATACATTATCAGTTCAGAAATTATTTGGAGGAAAATTGTACAATACACAGATATTTTCTATTATCTATATCTGTTATCCATCTGCGTTTTCTAATCTTAAATTTCTATTGCAAATACGTAAACTAATGTATATTTCATTTCAAAAAAAATTTTTTAAGTTGCACTTTATATTAGATTAGTAATTTTTATATGTATCATTAATGACAACCAATTACTTTAAAAAATAAAATTATAAAGGAAGAAAAAAATATTATAGTTCAGATGAAATTAAAAAAGAGCACTTACTTTCGGTGCTCTATCATCTGTAGAAATGCAATTCAGCAATATTAATTAATTTCTTAGAACAACTTACAAAAGTGTGGGAGGAATGACTTCCCATATTGAACAAGGGATCAATATGGGTAGTCATTTCTCTGGAAAACAAGCTTCGTTACATTTGCACCCATGAGGTGAAAGAAAACTCTTCGCATTAGAAAGCAAAAGGGCTTATGTTGTTTTCCGTAATGCCCAATTTTCAATATATTCTTCAAGATTCAAAATATTTTATCAATATTTTTAATTCACTTTCCCTTTTGTCACAAAAAATCACCATATCCACTATCCCATTTTTGTTGCATGTATATTATATAAATATACATTACATATGAATACTCATGTAAAAAATCATATTTAAAATTTTATTTTTCAAGACATTTATGAGCATAGCAATAATAAGGATTTAGATTTGCACTTTTATTTAATAAAATAAATTTAAAACAAATACAATAAAAATGTTTAATCTACTGATTTTAAATAATATACTACTTCCCTCTCTCTTGTAACAATTTGTTAAAATTTCCTTCCCTCCAACCATTACATGATTTACGATTGTCTCCTAAGAGGATATTGTAACCAACATGAAAGTTTGGGATATCCTTTTCATACCAGAAATTCCATTTTCATCCACAGTTTATTTTCTATCAGTTAAGACTATGAATTCGGCATGTGTACCCGTGACTGAGTTATTGTCCCGTTAATTCATGAATGTTTTTTTAAATGTGTTGAGAGCAACTAAATTTAAAAACCGATTAAGGACAATTTTTGACAGAATACTTTAATATGAATCTGAGTCATAAAATACGCTTTATGTTAACAAAATAACACTCAATCCAGTTTAAATAATTTCTAAGCCTAAATAATGGTGCATTTCACAATTTGCTTTTAAATCTCCATATTTTTTCTTTCAAGAAAGTGGTTTACGGTACAAAAAGTCCACACAATTTGCTTGAAAGTGTTATTAATAGTGAAGAAATTATTTTTTCAAACAGGAATATTCCTTGACGAGTAAATAATGAGCTTATTTGTTTTTGTAGGTATATTTATAGGTTTTAAAAAAAATTTTCCAGAAAAAAAAAACTATGCAGATTTAAAAGTTTAATTTCATGAAAATCAAATTGATTATTTTTAGGGTTTTATACGCAGTAAGTAATTATCCATTTCATTCCTTATCAAAAAGGAAAGACAATTTCTAGATGCTTTAAAACTTGGTTTGAATAATTGTTTATAGAGGAAAATCATTTTGACTCCATGATTAGTCCAAAAAATGATTATACAATTATTATGCATAAAATATCACAATAAAATATTGAGGTTTTAAAAACCAAGTGAAAATCCCTTTCGATATCTACCGAAAAAATGATAATCACAGTGGAATCGTCGGCAATCGAGAAATGATTACTAACTGAAATTCAGAATTTGGGATATAATGGCGTATCAAAATATAGAGATTTTAAAATCCATTTGAAAATCTGTAACAAAAGCTGCGAATATAGCTCAATCAAGCAAATCACCAGTATTTATACGATGTTAAATGAAATAGTAATAATCGAATAATTAATTATCGATTTATAATTATCGATAGAATAAATAATTATCGAATTGTTATTTTTATTAAATAAGGATATTTGTTCACCTGAAAGACCTATTATACTGAAAAATTTTTCGGACTTGCCTAAGTTCTGATGATTTTGGATATAGAACTTTACACGATATACATTGATATATATATTTACTGATAGTACAATTAGAGTAAGCTAGTAATACATGCATTCATTTATGTTACCAAACATGTTATCAAATTAATCTTTTTTTTATTCATTATTACTAAAATACAATTTCAAATAAGTAAATAAATTTGCAAGAGAAAATTCAATTAAAATGCAAAATGTGAGTAAAAATAAATTCAAAAATGAAAAATGCATTAAGAACCCATTAAATAGTAGCTAATGAATGAGAAAAAAAATCAATTAAGAGGAAAATAATATGTACGGGGAAAAAAATAAGAGCATGTGTAAAAAAATTAATTAAAAAGCATTTAATGTGTGAGAAAGAAGTCTATTGTAAAGCAACTAATAAGTGAAAAGAAATCAGGCATTAAAATTTAATTAATGGAACAAATATCATTATGAAGGTATGAATTACTTACTCTTTTTTGCCTCCAGCAGTAAGAGTTAACTTCCTGCTGTCTTCAAGAAGCACAACAGGTGGCCTAACAGCACGCCTTCCATCTCGGGTAAAATAATAATTTTCAGATAATTTATGGCTTGGTCCATCAGGTAGAGCTGGAGGGGGAGGTGACCTATTTAGGGATTTAATATTTGGTTAGTGTAAAAAGACACAGGAATATATAATTATCTGAATCTGGGCAAATAATTTATAACCAATATTCTTATAAATTTGCACACACCATATTTCAAGACATTAAAAATTGCCTTTACTTTCCGACACAAAAAGTTTATGACAAAAGAATTAATCTCTACTCATTATAATAATAATAGTTCTGTAGTTAGTCCTTATAGTAATTAATCACAAGTTTTATCAACTTCAGTTCAAGAAGTTAAAAAGAAGATTTTAGTAAAACTTATGTTTAAAAGAATATAGATTCAATTTATTACTTTAAAACAAATAATTTTTAATTTTCTATTATTTAAACTCTTATTAAAATTTTTACATAATTTTAAAAACAAAATAAAAACAAGTAAAAATTTTAGAACTAAAAAAAAGATACTTATTTTTTTTTATAAAAAAAAAGATTTTTATTTCATCAAGATATGAAATTTAACAATTTATAATAGTAGGGTGCATAGCCAAATTATTCAACAAAAAATAAGCACCTCTTAAGCACTTTTCAAGCACTCAAAAAATATTTTTAAGCACTTTAAAAAATATCATTATTACGCAGGGTTGGAAAGTTTTCGACAATCGACAGTTTTATCTTGCTTTAATCGTCATGTCAAAAAAAAACTTTTTGCGCTGTTTCTGACAATTTTCAAAAATCATGAAATTTTAAATCATGTAAAACTAATGGCGTTTTCATACGCTAAGGACTGACTATACTCCGAAATAGATTGGGGTTGAATTAGTTATGAAAACGTTGATAGAACAATGTAAACTGTGTTTTTTTGCCTAATTCGAAGCGAAAATCAACATAGTAAAGGAAAAATCCCATTTTGAAAAAAGAGAAAATTAAGCACTTTTTAAAAACACCCAATAAAAAAAGCACTTTTAAGGGCTTTTAAAAAACAAAAATAAGCACCTTTAAGCACTTTTTAAAAACGCTATGCACCCTGAATAGCGACTATATATTCTAGTTCAATTTTTTACTTATAATTAGTAGACCATATTGTATTTATTTTACTCCTACCTAAATTTAATAGTAAACATTTTCTATATTTATATTTAAAAATGAATATTGTTAAAAATAGAGAATTAAAATTTTTATTATTTAATTGATGAATAAAAACTTAGGAAATAAATTTATATAAGAGTAATTAAATCATCTATAAGGAAAGGTTGTTTACCAACAATCTAATAATACACAGCTTTCAATTAACTTTAGAACAAATCTATAATAAGATGTGAAAATTTTGTAAAAATTAAATCAGTGTAGGTCTTCATCTAAAATTGGTTCATGCACAAGTCACGTCATACCATCTTCCCTGGTATAAAAAATAATCTTTTAATTAAAAAAATAACTATGCATTTCACTTTTTACCTGTGAAAGAATTTGCCAACCATGTTATACTTGGTGGAACCAGAATAACAATATGTAGCGTGTTACTTTACTTTCCCGTTTCAGAGTAAGGGGGCTCTGTATCATTTAGTTAATAATGTATGCCACTAATAAGCTATTTAATGAAATCATGCTTCATTTATACTAAAACACATATTACAAACTGATGAGTGCAACTGGTTGGTCGACTGTTTTGATTATTTCTGGTGTTACTTGAACTAGCACTGGGCTATAAATCGATGTATCGAGACATATCGATTTAACGCATATATCGGCAAGACGATACAGCGACTTTCATTCAAGGCGATGCATCAGAAATCTGATTTAAGCCGTCGAGTAAAGACAAAGAGCGCAAAACGATATAGCGACATAAGACACGGAAGGATATAAGATAACGATATAGCGATATAAGACTCTTCTCTTACGTTCCGATGTCGACTCGCGCTGTGGAAGACGATGTTCGTTTCGTTAAAATGGCTTTGATTGGTGAGCTGTAGAATCACAATCAGAGTTTTGAGAACACATATCGTTATATCGCATGTTCCTTTTCGCACCTCTTAGCTTTTTTTTTCTTTGTCGCGACTTTTCTTGTAGATTATTTTCAGAGAGACTAACTTCGTGATCGCTGATGTTACCTTGTTCTGAAGGCAATCTATTATTGAAAAGAATATATAAAGAAGAGTTTCTNAGGAACTTAATAAAGCAACATGAAAGATTAAAATACATAGATCAGAATAAGAGCATTAAATTTACTTAATAACGAAAGGCCTTTAATGCAGGCATCAGTGTAAGTAAGAAATTTTTAATGTTTTTACAATGACATGACTCTTAGTTGCAAATTTATTGTACAGAAATACTTTTTCTGATAGCTATTACAAACTGAAATTGATTATTTTAAAGATTGACAATTCAAATTCTAAACTAAATCAAGATCATCCTAGCAGCACTCAAGCAGAGTGTTTACCCAATGCGTTGTATTCCTAAAACTATAAATAAGCCACACAGGGATGTTTGGAGAGTTTTGTTAATAAATATATAAAAATTCATTTTTAATCATTTTAAAATTTATTTTTAGCACTGAAAATTCAAAATATTGCTTCCTATTTTAAAATATGGATGAAATAGAAAAGATAGTTTCCACATGTCTAGAAGCGCAACAGAAGAAATAAATCGTAAAAATTAAAATCAGATGGTTAAAAAATTTTACTTTTTTTAACTATTTTAGATCATTACTTAGACAGGGCTTTTAAAAATGCACAACTTCTCACATTTTAAGGACCATTAATATCTTATATGTAATTCAGGGGTAGAAATTTAAAAAAAAAATTACTGGTCCATAGGACCAGTAACTAAAACATTTTACTAGTCTGCACAAAACTTTACTGATCCGTCTACGCGTTCCTATTAGCTGCAAATAAAAAAAAAATTAAAATTTTTGATTGAAAAAATCATGATTTTTTTTTTACAAATCATAAATTTTTGATTTCAATCGCATTTTTTTGATTAATATTAATTTTGTATAAAAAATTTTTAAAAAAAAATTGTGAATAAGCTCTAAAATAGTTTTAAGTAACTCAAATACACAAGTTGCATAAATATGCTTAAAATTTAAGAAGGAAATAAGATTAATATACTACTTACTAAGATTAATTAGAAAAGAATATTTTAGCAATCAAGAACTATGATTTTTACTCAATTTGAAGTAATCACAAATTCCTCCCCTATTTCTCTCCTTCAGCGACTCTCCATATGACGCATGCGCGAAACAAGATTTAACTTCGCCTTCCTCAGGATCGCGCGCTAGGTTCAGCTTTTTTTTTTAACGGAGATCGGCTGCGATGGATGGTGGTCCGGCGGACCACTGTTTATTACTTTATGCTGGTTCGACTCCGATTTTAGTGGTCACGGACCAACGAACCACCGTTAATTTCGAGCCCTGCTGTTACACAGGGTAACATTACTAACAAACAAAAGAATTCATAAGAAAATAAAATTTAAGTAGCACATAACTTTATTTATTAACACACCACTATTCTAGTTTTTTTTTTTTAAAAAAATTCTGATAGTAAAAAAAATTATATTATTATTTTTTAAAAAATGTGAAAATAAAATGATTTGATTTCTTTAAAAATAAAACAGTTAAGATTTTGACATTTTCATGCAAAACATCTGAGCTTTCAGCAGTTGAATTGTGTGCTTTAAGATTTTATGCATCTAGTTTTAAAGAGGAAAACCAAAAATTTAAAGAAAAAAAGCTAAAAAAACATATGTATTAGATTTAATTTTGAAATAAATTATCTTTATTACTACAGGGTAAACTTTAAACAAATGGATAGTTTTCAAAACAACAAACATTAATTTGTACATAGCATCATAGAGATGAGGAAAATTATTACTATTCTCTGAAATTTAGGGAAGAAAAAAAGAAAAACAATGCAAATTGTAAAAAACTGAAGTGCAACTTGTTTTAAAGTACACAATGAAAGTACATTTACATTTGGTTATTCATTCATCGTCTACAGCTGTACTTAATATTAGTAACTAAAAATTACTATTAGTAAAAATTAATATTAGTAACTAAAAATTATCATTAGAAAGATTCAATAAAATATTACCTAGTTGCAACAAAATCTTGAAATCTCAAAGAATTCTTGAATGGTCTCTGAAAAAAATAAGAACAAACATTATCATTAAATACAAATGTATATTTACAGATCTTAAAAGTTAAGAGATATTGTTCTAAAAATATTTATAAACAATACAAAAAATTTGTTTTCTTTCACACTTTAGCATAAAAAAATGACAAATAACTTGTAGTTTTTACCAAAATATTTCTTAAAAAATTTATTTGAATACTATAGTAAAATAAAAGTTTAAAAATAATTGCAATAAGTATGTGTATTTAATCTAAAAAAAGTTTAGTTCTTTTATAATTTTGCAAGTTGAATTGAAAAATTATTAAAATATATGATACAACTAACTTACTACATCAAGGAAATGTAATCACATAGAAAAAGAAATGATGTTAGTGACACAGCTAAATCAAAACTATATAAATTTTTCAATAATATCAACTTCCTAGCATCAGTTCAAAAAATGAACAGATTCAAGGCCACTTCAAAAGGAGTCTGGTTACAGAGTCCATTTCACTAACAAGGAAGGTGTTTTTTTCTTTTGTATATATGTTTTATATTTAAATTAAAGGAAATAATATAAAATTTAATTTTTCTCCTTAAGTATATCTTGGTAAATAAATTGACTCTTGAAACCCTTAATAGTTTACGAAAAACAGGCAATCGAATTATACAGTTACATAAGCATTTTATACAATAAGAGATAGATAAGAAGAAATCATTATCAATTTAAAACTTTCAAAAACTATTTTTAATATATTATTTACAGTTAATTTCGCATTTTTTCTCTAATACTTTCGTTACACAGAAAGTTTTTTTTTTTTTTTAGAAATAATACTTTATATTACCTTTAGGAAAAAATTAATAAGAAAATTTGAAATAATTTACTTGAGAGTATTTCAAAAAATATACTAAGATGAAAATTTTTTTAAATTTCCATAAAGGTACAAATTTAAAAACTCCAAACCATCGTCTGTGTCGGATAAAGTTGACAGTGCTGTCATGTGGTTCTCCCTGCTTCTATTTCTTTAATATATTTTTTTCTCTTACCTTCAACTATTCATTTAAAGATGATTGAATATTATTCTTGAAGGGTTTTTTTATTTTAGAAATGTTCATAGTTGGTTTCTTCAGCAGTTGACTTAGACACCAGACATACCAGAATTTTTTTAAAATTCTAAATAAAAAATAGGAAGTCAACCTATACACCAATACATATGGTAGTTTTAATAGTGTAAATTATCAAAAACTATAACTCCCACGGACCACTGATTATTATTTCAATGTAGTCAGATTTCAGATATCTCAGATCAACGAGCCACCTTCAATTTCAAGGCAAGCACTAAAACAGATCCACTTCCATCAAACAGTAACTTAAGATTCATTCGAGAGATAACAATTTGAATAGAACACATATATCAATGCAACTCATAGGATTCAGTATTCGTCAATTCGTCAATATTCTAAAATAATCACCCAGTTTTAGTGACCAACAGGCAGTTGTACCCAAAAAAAAAATTTTTTTAAATAATCGTAGGACAGGACTAATGGGAAAGAAAAAACCTATACTCCTCACTGGACTATTATTATTTACTATATATACATACATATATTAGGGCTCGAAAAACCGCCCGTTCAAAAATTCCTTGCGGACAACGAATTTCTGGAATGCGACGTCCGAGCGGACGGCCAATTTCCCGTTAATGTTCGTGATACATTTTCAATTTTTGTTATCTTACAAGAGTCTAGCGCCTCACTTCTAAAATAACCCTCTGATCTAGCAAAATGACCCACAATACTGCGCATGGTGGAATCGATGTTTTCTCTGTCTGGGACTACTGCAGCAGTTGAAAGGGGCTTTTCAGCAATGAACTTACAAAAAAAACACATTGCGTACTGGTCTTAAACAATAAGCGTTAAACGCAATTATGAACATCTATCTAAATAAACTTTCAGATTTCTGTGCAGAATCCTCTGTAAATCATTGGCTTGATTGTGGAACTGGCAAACGTCATATTTGATTCATTTAAATAACGCAGTATCCTCGGATAAATTGACATTCCAAATAACTTGACCTTTGTCATTTAAATTATTTCATAAAAGAAATACTAGGTTACTACTAGTAACCAAGTATTTCTCTTATTACTGTGTAATGTAATCCTAGTAACAACTAATTCATTGTGCAATTTATATAAATGTTTGTAATATATAGGAGAAAATTATATTTTTATTTATTTAGAAGCTACGGGTTAGTTTTAAAGGAGGACAGGTACATTGTTGGACAAGCCGTCCTCGTGGACGGGTAATATTTCTGAGTTTTTTAGAAAGCAATTACAAAAATCCCTATGAAGAGTTCTCAAAATAACCACACAAAAAACAACATCGCAGAATTCTTATTTATTTCTTTTCCAATAATAGACCACCTTTTTAAGTATTTTTTAATTTTCCGAATTGTACTATTTATCAATGAACATTTAGTGACAAACAATCTAAGCCACTTGACTTGGACCTTAGAAGCATTAATAATTGGCTATAGACTTGTAACAAATGCTTTACAAACATCCAATGCTTCAATGGATATCATTGAAAAGGGTTGTANCACACAAAACAGTTGATCTAACAAGGATATAGCCCCACCAACCAATAATTAAAATAGAAAGCAATTACAAAAATCCCTATGAAGAGTTCTCATACTAACCACACACAAAAAAATATCGCAGAATTCTTATTCATATTTATTTCTTTTCCAATAAAAGACCACCTTTCTAAGTATTTTTTAATTTTCCTAATTGTACTATTTATCAATGAACATTTAGTGACAAACAATCTAAGCCACTTGACTTGGACTTGCCTAATGTCACCTTAGAAGCATAATTAATTGGCTATAGACTTGTAACAAATGCTTTACAAACATCCAATGCTTCAATGGATATCATTGAAAAGGGTTGTAGTGCGGATGGAGAGCACGCTCTTAAGATGTAACTGTGAAATGTGAAACATAATTATTTAAAAAATTAAAATTAATGCATTGATTAAATTTTAATTAAATGAATAAATGTAAAACGAAAGAATTCAAATAACTGAATCACTAATTCAATGATTTTAGTTGTTTACCTATTGATATTTGGATTTTACAAAAGCTACCCAACATCAAATAAAAATTTAGAAACATAGAAAAAAAATTTGAGAAGTCAACAGTTTAGGGGACAAAGATGTTTCACGAAAAATTATATCTTACTCCCAAAAGAAAGTTACGAAACCATCGCAAAAACGGTGAAAGATCTCTCGGTGGTACAGCCATCGACAGTTAAGAAATGCCTAAATTTAAAAAATATTTGATATTAAAAAGAAACAATCGACCTTAAGATACGAAATCTGTAAAAATAAATAAATGTTTTTTATTTATTTGATAAGCTTCCATCTGCCTGTTTTTGTTCGACTGACCACTTCTACCCAAAGAAAGACTCAGTACTTTTATTTATGAATATTGTATTTATATTATGTTTATAATATTTTTTAGCAACAGCTGAAGTCTACTATTTTCTGGAAATTAATTATAGTTAACTAAAATTTTATTAAAATTTAGAACCATATGCATGCGTAATTCACGATCGCGATGCTCAAGTATTCCCTCTAGCGGATAGGTTATTTTCAGGCTTTTTGTTTTATAATTTAGTTCTATCAGAATCATTAGTAAAGTAGGACGCCATTTTTTAGCAGCAAGTAAAAAGTAAAATTTCTTTAAGAAAAAGGCTTAAAAACTTAAAGAAAACTACCCAGAACATTGGTAAATCTTTTTGAAACAGAACGCGCTTGACATTTGAAGAACAATTTCTCAATAGTTTTTACCTTTCTATTATCAAAAACATAACTTCCGATTTCGTGATTACATGCTGTTACAGGCGTGCGTATAACGGAAAAATAAATATATTTGTCTTCAATTCATTATAATTTGAAGTGAAGTCAATGAATAAATGCGATTTCAGAACGAACAGAACTGTAATATTTATAGCATATTCTTCTTCGCTATAGCATAGATTTCTGTATCTATATAATTTGAAAAACAACAGTAAGGAATCATCCAAATTACTTGAAATAGTATCATTTGTGTTGATCATTAATAAATTTTTATCGTTTTCTTGATAAGTATTTTTTTATTTTGAATGATAAATTTCAACTAGAATTCAGTCAGTGGCGTAGCGAGCTTGTATATTTATACATCTTNCCAGCAATTTTTTGTTTTGCGGACCATTTGGCGCCCCTTTGTGAGTAGCGCCCGGGGCATGATGCCCCCCCTTGCCCACCCCTCGCTACGCCACTGAATTCAGCTATTAATTCAAATCGAGCTATTAATCAAATTCTAAAATTCAAATCGAGATCTTGCAATTCTAAAATTTTATTGTATGGTATGTCATCTTAAAGTAATGAAGGGATATTATGTATATATTTTTTGAGAATTAAGTTATTAAACGAAGAACATATCATTTTGAAATTCTCCGGATTTATAAATCAGGGAAATTGTTAATATCCATATATTAAAATTTCCTTGTAAATATTTTTTTTGTCTAATTTGATGATCATCAAACTATCGATAGTTTTCTATAGAATGGTTTTCTACTTCCAATTAAGAATTTAAAGAAACGTGAATTTGTTTTTTAAATTTTAATTTGAGGAATTTTTAGAATCATTATTTTTCGTAAGCAGTCTTTATTTACCCTTTTTTTCTTTTTTCGTTTATAAATAATGATTTTTATTGAAACTTAAAATTTTTTGATAAAAATTGCTGTCAAAAAACATTTTTTGCAAAATTAAATGATGTAAAATTTTGTGCTTTCGTATACTTTTTGCATACTTTAATGTTTGAAGTAATATGATTCATAAAACTATGGAACGTAAAGTTTAAATAAATCTTTCACGTTATATCATTAAATTTAGTAAACCGATTTCGCAGGCATTAGGTTTCAACTCTAATATGAAGATACATACATATTTTTTTCTGCTTGTTTACAAATATTTTTCGATGTGTTTCGGATGTTCCTTCTCTAAAAAGAAAAATATTTTGTTTTCGCTTGTATAAGAAAGAATATCAAACAATTTTCTTTTTTAAATTGAATAAGACGCAAGAAAGAAGGAACGTCACAATGCTACACGCTACACTATTATTCGTCTCATACAACTAGGTATTCGTCTCATACAACAACGCCCCCTATAGTTCGTTGCGATCGCCAATCCCTAATTTAAAGA